CCACCGAGCAATTGGAAGCCAGGCTCGCTCCTCGCCCCCTCTCCCTCCCTCTCACACTCCTCTCTCTCTCTTCCCAGCATTTATTTCGACCCTAATTGGTTTCTCCCTTCTCCGACGTGTCTAGTGGATAATACGCACCTTCCCTGAGTCAGAGCCTGCAAAAAGCCAAGGAACAAATGGGAAAAGTGCACCAACAAGCAGAGAGGGGGCTGCGAAGCTGCCGCAGGCTACGATTGCTGGCCAAACTTCCCCAAGCCATCCCTCAGAAGCCGAGGCTGGAGCAGCAGCACCAGCCTGGAGCACACAGGGGAAAGGGGGGGGCTTGAGGAGCGGACCTGCCTCTCGCAGCACAAGCTCCTGCCCAAAATAAAGAACTAAGTGGATAGAGAGATATTCCTGACATATTGGGGGGAAGGGAGGGGATGGGGAGAGAGGGGAAGGAAGGGGCTGGAGGGGGAGGGGGAGCCTGACAAAAGTAGACAAGTGCACGCGTCCGGCGCAACGTTCGGCCTCCAAACCAGCCCAGGGGGACAAAAATCCCTCTTTGCCTCGAAAATCACTCCCAAGTCCTGCCTAGGGCGGGCAGGAGAAGGTTGCAGCAGTTTTAATGCCAGCAGAAGCCATAGGAGATTTCAGGGAAAACTTTAAACTGAGACGGTCGTGGATTTCTTTGCACTTTCCATGTGCCAAAATCGAAACAAGGGAAGAACCGAAAGGAGAATATCAGCGAGTCATTAGCGATTAATTAGTTCGTGTGCCAACGACGCTTGAAAATCGAAAGCACGATAAAAGTGCAATATCGGTATGATGGAATGATGAGAAATGGTCAGTTTTCGGGGCGTTTCTTTTGGCAGGAATTATTTGAGCCGTCCGAGACATGAAACCAAGCTGCGAACGCGCCTGCATCTCCCATCACACACAATCAGAAAGACTAAAAATACTCAGTTTGGATTTTTTTTTTTTTAAAGCGAAAAAAATATTTACCATGCTTCTAGCTGCTGATTAAAAATTGCCCAATGTACTTAGAGCACAGTTTGGGGTTGGTTTTGTTGCTTTAGGGTTTTTTTTGGCTGGATTTTCTTTTTGTTAACAGAGCAGCTAGAATTTTTTTTTTTTTTTTTACAGCTGTTGCTAATTTCCACCGTTGTTTCTTACCGCACTGAAATCCAGTAAATCACTCAGTTCTTTGTCCGTCCCTAAGGCAGCCATTCGCTGTTGGTGATGCATTTTAGCAAAATCACACAAACCTAGAAACATGGAAATAACCGCAATCAGAAATCCCGAGCCTTGCAGGAAACACAGTCGGATTTTGCTTTTTCAAGGGGGGGTCGGGGAGTGGGTGGTTGAGAAGAAGAAGAAGGGAGGGGAAAAAAAAAGATGGAGGGGCAGCAAAAAAAAAAAAAAAAACACCCAAAAAACACAACAACAAGAGGAAAAAAAAAAAAAAAAGCGATATTGTATTTCCAAAGAGGCGAGCCAAACCCGGCAACATCCACTCTTAAACCCAAATCCGGAGGAGAAAAAAAAAGGCAAAGCCTCTCTCCCGGAGCATCATTTATGCAACAGGAGGTTCAGCGAGGAATGAATGAGGATCCCAGAGAAGAAACTACAGCCATCCGCTCCCAACTTTTTCCCTTCTCCTTCTTCCACGCAAAAAGTAGCGTTTGGAGGCACAAACGGCAAAGAGCGAGGAGCAAAAAAAAAGCCACGGCGAGATGCGAAGTGCAGGTTCCGGGGGCGGGGGGGGCAGCGGGGGACAATTAGCCCCGATTCCTAATTTGCGGAGCGGAGGGGGGGGATGAGGCCGAGCAGAAGCCGGCAGCGGCTCGGGCCTGTGCGGAGGCAGCGCCCGGGGGGAGGGGAGCCCGGCGAGCGAGGGAAGAGGGGAGAGGGAAGGGGCGCGGAGCCCAGCCCAGCACGGCGGCCCCGAGGAGCCCCGGCCGCCTCCGTACCCGCCGCCGCCGCCGCCGCTCATGGAGCTCCGCGCTCGGCTCCCGCCCGCTCCCGCCGCACTTTTCCAAGGATTCCACGTTGGATTCGCCCAGCTCGCGCGCACACATGGCCAAGCGCGTTTATACGGGGCCGCGGACGCACGTGACGCGGGCACTTGGCCGAAAGGAACAATATTTTTTTTTCCCCCCTTTGGATTACCCGTTCCCTTCGTCTTTTTGGGTTTTTTTTTAGATATTTTATCTAGAATCCCGCTTTGTTTTGGTCGCCTTACTCCCGACGCCCCGAAGCTTTGCCATTTTCCCAGAGCATCGCTGCAAACTTTGCGAAGCAGCCCCTTGGATTTACGCGCAAGTTTTTGGGGATGCTGCCAGCCCCCCCCCTCCCCTCTCCCCTCGCCCTTCCTTCCTCCCTCATCCCCTCCGCCACTTTTATTCCGCATTTTCCTCTCGCAGGCCGGACAGCACTAGAAAGAACTCCTCGGAGTTCATTTTCCGGTAGGAAATAAAGCAGCGGCGAGTCCCCGCGTCTGCACCTTGGTGTATTTCCCACACGTGTAGTTACATCTTATCTATGCAATGTATATACAATGTATCGATTTACACAGCCCGGAACTTGCACTTTCTTTTCTTTTCTTTCCTTTTTTTTTTTTTTTTAAATAACACATCGGGATCGACAATTTCAATCAAAAAATAAAAATGAAAGCAAAAAAAAAAAAAAAAAAAACACAGACAAGTTAGTCTAACAGCAAATTGGAACTTTACCTTAAATGGCCACAAATATGTTCACAATATTCCAAGGGGGAAAAAGAAAGGAAAAAAAAGGAGTAAAAAAATAAGCAAAATAAAAAGAGAGGAATCTTCTGCCAAAGTGCTTTATTGTCTCACACGTATGTGACCCTCCAAGACCACCAAAAAGTAGGGAAAGTGTCAGTCCTGCTCCGGGTTATTCCACAGCTTTACAGGCACACTACACCTGGCTTTGTTGGGATTTGGGGGGCCCGGCCACCGGCCACAAAAATCATATAAATTAGATTTAAAAAATGTAAAAATTCAAAACCAAGGAATAAAAAAAAAAAAAAAGCAAAAGGAAAAAAAAGAAGGTCCGACAACTTTTGCCCTATTGTTTTTACAGACACATGGTGACGGGCTCGCAGCGCCGCGGCTCTCGGGGACTTGCCCCCTCCTTGTCCTTCCTTAAAAAAAGCCAAAAGCAAAAAAACCCAAATCCCGAAAAAAAAAAACCAGGCGACTCCCCCCTCGGGGGAGCGCGGGGCCGCCCGTTCCCCAACTTGGTCCAAGTTTAGAGCAGCGCCCGCCGCCTCCTCCGGCTCAGCAGCGCGGCCTCCCCCGCCGAGCCGCGGCCGATCGCATCCCGCCCGGGCAGCCGCATCGCCCGCCGCTCACATCCGGGCAATGCCCGCCGCCTTATAAGCGCCGCCGCCGCCGCTCGCAGACAATGACGAGGAGGAGGAGGAGGAGGAGGAGGAGGAGGAGGAGGAGGGCGGGAGGAAGCGGGCGGGACGGCGCGGCGGGGCTCACAAGATGGAGGGGCCCCGCCGCCCCTCGCCCCTCACGTGCTCCCTCCCGCGCAAGCTCCGGGCGGGGATCGGTGCCCGCCGGGGCCGGGCCCGCGGCAATGCCCGGGGGGCTCCGGCTGCGCTCGGCCATGAGCGGGCCGGAGCGGCTGCGTGCCTCAGCCTCAGCACACCCGGGAGAGAGGGGCTCCAGCACACCCGGGAGGGTTCTCAGCACACCCGGGAGGGTTCTCAGCACCCTCAGCACACCCATGAGGGGCTCCAGCACACCCATGAGGGGTTTCAGCACCTTTAGCACACTCATGAGGGGTTTCAATACCTTCAGCACACCCATGTGGGATTCCAGCACCCTCAGCACACCCATGAGGGGTTTCAGCACCGTTAGCACACTCATGAGGGGTTTCAATACCCTCAGCACACCCAGGAGGGGTTTCAGCACCCTCAGCACACCCATGAGGGGTTTCAGCACCTTTAGCACACTCATGAAGGGTTCCAGAACCTTCAGCACACTCATGAGGGGTTCCAGAACCCTCAGCACACCCATGAGGGGTTTCAGCACCCTCAGTACACCCATGAGGGGTTCCAGCACCACCGTGAAGGGTTCCAGCACCCTCAGCACACCCATGAGGGGTTCCAGCACCCATGAGGGGTTTCAGCACCCTCAGCACCCCCGTGAAGGGTTCCAACACCCTCAGCACACCCATGAGGGATTTCAGTACCCTAAGCACACCCATGAGGGGTTCCAGCATGCTCAGCACACCCATGAGGGATTTCAGCACCCTCAGCAAGACCTAGGATGGTTTCGATCCTCCTCAGCAGACCTGTGAAGGGCTTCAGAGCCCTCAGCAAACAACACCTTGAAGGATTTCAGACCCCTTAGACAACCCTCAAAGGGTTTGGTCCCCTAAGCAAACCCCATGAGAGATTTCATGAATCATGAGGGCTTTCAGGGCCCCTCATCCCACCCAGACCACAGCAAACCCTGTGAGGGGTTTCACGTGCCCTCAAACCACAACTGGTTACATCCGCCTCGGCAGTTACCTGCAGGGCTTCAGGTCCCACAGACTCCCAATGGATTCCACGACTCTCTGCCATGATCAGACTCTGTGAGGGCGTTTCGGCTCCCATAGATCCTCCAAGAGTTTCTCCCGCTCCCGGCCCTCAGCCGATGCCGTGGGGGGCTCGCTCCTCGTCGCCATGAGGGGGCTAACGCCATTCCGCCCTAATGTGAGGGGGTGCCCTGGAGTGAGGGGGCGCCATCCCGCCACTCCGCCATGAGGGAGCTCGCGCCACTCGTCCTGAAGGGAGCTCGTGCCAGGCTGCTCTGAGGGAGTTTCCGTCACTCCATCGTGAGGGAGCTCGTGCCAGGCTGCTCTGAGGGAGTTTCCGCCACTCCATCGTGAGGGGGCTCGCACCAGGCTGCCGTGAGGGAGTTCCCGCCACTCCGCCATGAGGGAGCTCGCGCCAGGCTGCCCTGAGGGCGCTCGCGCCGCTCGTCCTGAGGCAGCTCGTATCACTCCGCCCTGAGGGAGCTCGCGCCGCTCGTCCTGAGGGGGCTCGCGCCGCTCCATCGTGAGGCAGCTCGTGCCGCTCCGCCCTGAGGGAGCTCGCGCCGCTCGTCCTGAAGGGAGCTCGTGCCACTCCATCGTGAGGGGGCTCGGACCAGGCTGCCGTGAGGGAGTTCCCGCCACTCCGCCATGAGGGAGCTCGCGCCAGGCTGCCCTGAGGGAGCTCGCGCCGCTCCATCGTGAGGGGGCTCGCGCCGCTCCATCATGAGGGAGCTCGCGCCACCCCGCCGTGAGGGAGCTCGCACCAGGCTGCCGTGAGGGAGTTCGCGCCGCTCGTCTTGAGGGGGCTCGCGCCACCCCGCCGTGAGGGGGCTCGTGCCACTCCGCCCTGAGGGAGCTCGTGCCACTCCATCGTGAGGGGGGCTCGCACCACTCCGCCCTGAGGGGGCGCGCGCCCGGCTGCGTGAGGGAGCTCGTGCCACCCGTCCTGAGGCGGCTCGCGCCGCTCCATCGTGAGGGAGGCTCGCGCCGCTCCATCGTGAGGGAGCTCGTGCCAGGCTGTCCTGAGGGGGCTCGTGCCGCTCCATCGTGAGGGAGCTCGTGCCGCTCCGCCCTGATGGAGCTCGCGCCGCTCGTCCTGAAGGGGCTCGCACCAGGCTGCCGTGAGGGAGTTCCCGCCACTCCGCCATGAGGGAGCTCGCGCCAGGCTGCCCTGAGGGCGCTCGCGCCGCTCCATCGTGAGGGAGCTCGCGCCGCCCCGCCGTGAGGGGGCTCGCGCCCGGCTGCGTGAGGGAGCTCGTGCCACTCCGCCCTGAGGGAGCTCGCGCCGATCGTCCTGAAGGGGCTCGCACCAGGCTGCCGTGAGGGAGTTCCCGCCACTCCGCCATGAGGGAGCTCGCGCCAGGCTGCCATGAGGGGGCTCGCGCCGCTCCATCGTGAGGGAGCTCGCGCCGCCCCGCCGTGAGGGGGCTCGCGCCCGGCTGCCGTGAGGGAGCTCGTGCCACTCGTCCTGAGGGGGCTCGTGCCGCTCCATCGTGAGGGGGCTCGCGCCGCTCCATCGTGAGGGAGCTCGCGCCCGGCTGCCGTGAGGGAGTTCCCGCCACTCCGCCCTGAGGGAGCTCGCGCCAGGCTGCCATGAGGGAGCTCGAGCCATTCCGCCGTGAGGGGGTTCCCGCCACTCCGCCCTGATGGAGCTCACACCTCTCCGCCCTGAGGGAGCCCACACCACTCTGCCCTGATGGAGCTCACGCCTCTCCGCCCTGAGGGAGCTCACACCACTCCTCTGTGAGGGGGATCCCGCCGCTCCGCCGCCGTGAGGGGATTCTCACCACTCCGCCCTCATGGAGCTCACATCACTCCGCCCTGATGGAGCTCACACCACTCCGCCCTGATGGAGCTCACACCACTCCTCTGTGAGGGGGATCCCGCCACTCCATCGTGAGGGAGCCCGCACCCCTCCGCCGAGAGGGGCTGAAGCTTCGGGCAGGCCTCCTTGGGGCTCTGGCCCAGACCTGGTCCCTCAGAGGCCCAGCAAAGTTTCCCGCCTTCGCCTTGGCGCCATTGCTGAGGCGCCGTGAGGGGCTCCAGCCCCCTCAGCAGCCGCAAACTCTGTGAGGGGTTTCAGCGCCTCAGCCGTCATCAGACCCTCGAAGGTTTTCAGCCCGCTCAGCCCTCAGCATCCCGCGAAAAAAGGTAGGTTTGAATTATTCATTTTTTAAATGTTTTTTTGGAGTGCTGAGCCCGCAGTGGGGCTGGTGCACGAGCAGGTGGTGGAAATGAAAATAAAGAAGGGAATGGGGAAAAGCAAAGAGAGGGGGAATGATATAAAGTCATGGAATGGTTTGGGTTGGAAGGGTCTGTCACTGGACCAGAATGTTCCAAGCCCCATGCAGCCTAGCTTTGGACACTTCCAGGGATGCTGCCTTCAAATTAATGATGGATTTGGTTAATAACGGGCTGTGCGGTTTTATTTGGAAATTAAGTAGGAAAAGGGCTAACCCAACTGCCACCCTGGCCCCGGTATTATTAATTTTCCAGGTTTAATCCTCTGGATTTTATACTGTCCCCATATGTCCTGTTTTCAGCAGGCCACAGGAATTCCATGTGGACAATTGGCTGAGCAGGGGGGCTTTGGCTGCCTCAGAATTCACAGGAGGCAGACCTGGGAAATTTTATCAGAGTCCCCTCCCCTGGAAGTGTCCAGGGCCAGTTAGGATAGGGCGTGGACCAGTGGTCAAGGGGGATGGAACTGGACAGTCCTTAAAATCCCAAACCATTCCCCGATTCTACCAGGGTGATTGTGAAAATAAGTTGATGGATGTTATGGAGCTGCAGTAGCTGATGCCATGAATGAGTCCATGTGATCCGGAGCTGCCATATCCCATTTTGGGATAAAACCAAAGTGGAACATAGCTGAACTTGATCAATTTTATAGGGTAAAACCCCAAGTCACCAAAGTGTTTGTTTCTCCACTTCCCGAAAATAAACAAGTGGGAAAATGGAGCAAGAAAAACCCTGTAATTTTCAATGCAGTTTCTCTCTTTGTGCTTCCTTGTTATGGTGTCAACATGAGGCCAGTTTGGCTTAGAGGGGAATGTAAACTTGCTAATTTCTGTACAGCTTTGCAAAGGGTGTGTTTCACTCATTGCCTCAGAAATACTGCAGATTTCCGTGGAAAGGTACTCCTGGAGGAGGGAAAATATTCTTCTGTATTTGCCTGAATTCCGATTAAAATGTGGTTTGTTTTCTAATTCCCTAATGAAATAGGATGTTTGATTTCAATTAAAGTGAAATGTCATCATTTTCTGTTGTACTAATGGATATGGAATACTGCAGTCCATTAGGGAGAAAACAGTGGATTTGGGAAAAGGCCAAGAGGTGCAGGGGATGTAAAGAGATTTTCCATGTATTTTCAATGTTTGTAATGGGCATATGTAGGTCATTATGGAAATCCATGGGTGGTGATGACAGGAATACAGAGAATACAATAATGCAATCTCTTATCGAGATTTCAGCAGGAATTGTTGGTATTTTGTAAATCTGGGGAAATGTTTGGAGCAACCTGGGCCAGTGGAAGGTGTGGCAGGGGGGATGATCCTTCAAATCCCTTGCTTCAAATCTCCTCCAGCCCAGCCCTGAGCAATTCCAGGGCCAGGGCATCCACAGCTTCTCTGGGAATATCATTTGGAGCGACCCTCTGGGAGAGTTGATGGCATTTAACAGTTTATTCCTCTCTGTGGTATTCTTTACATTCTTGAGTGTTCTTTGAAGGCTCTCCACGGTTGGCAAAAATTTGTTGTGGTTGTTATAAATGTTTTTATATCTGATTTCGTATCTTATTTGTGTTATTACTGTTTGCTGTTGAGCCTGGACCCGTCGGTGGCTGGGGACCCTCGGGCTGAGTCCCGTTGCTTGTCCTTGTAATTGAATTAAAAGTTGCTGTAAAAAATACATGGGAATAAGAATAGGAGAGGGATGAAGAAGGAAATAATTGGGGAGTACGTGGCTGGATTAGTTATTGTCCCAATTAGCTGCCTGAATTAGCTCCTTGACAAGGAACACTGAGGGAAGAATAAAGGGCTATCGGTGACAGGGCCAGTTTTTACGGAAGCTGCTCCTCTAAGTGCATTATGATTGCAATATAAAGAGCTGCAGGTTTCACTTAAATGGATTTTGATTCTGCTCATTTTTCTAACAGTAGATTTGTTTCACTTCCATATTAATCTCCTTTTATTAAACCATAGAAATGCCAACCTTTGTTTTCCTGGGAGCAGCCTAGGACATAATCTAACTTTACAAAAAATACAAGTATTTGTGCTTAGTGAGGAGACTGAGGTTGGATTTCAATCCTGTGAACTGGACGCACAGTTATGTCATTTCCAAGTCCAGGAGAGGTTGATTCTTTGGAATGAACATGAGGACTCGAGCTCATTTTCATGGCAAACTGGTTTCAATGTTTTGAAGGGAAACAAATTCCTCTCCAAAGTAACGGCTTTAAGCTGTGCCACGGGAGTTTCAGGCAGGATTTCTGCACGGACGGGGCTGCCCAGGAGGTGCTGGAGTCCCCATTCCGGGTGGAGCCTGGCAGACACAGACGCGTTTGTGCAGCGTCTCTGGGCCGCCTCCCACACAGGAGACACAGGATCCCTTCCCTCAGCAACGTTCTCACTCCTTATCAGGCACTACATGTAATAAATAAATACCAGGCACGGTTTGCAAGCAGCCAGGGAAATGTGTGGAGGTGTCCCTAAAAGCTCCTGGTCCCCAGCAGGAATTCTAGGGCCCTGCTCAGCTCCATTGATTGTGCTGTCTGTAGAGAGGGAGCTGAAAGGGTTGCAAAGAAATGAGAGATTAGGGAAAAAGGAGTCAGGGATTTATCCAACTCTGTAATAAATGAGATCATTCCGAAGAAAACTCAGCTGTCACCGAGCTGCCCTCCTGTCCTGTCCCCACCTGGCAGGGCCACGGCCCCGTGCCTGTCATTGGGAAAGGTGCAGCAGCCAGGAGATCCCTGGGATGGGCCTTTCCAGGCCTGGTCTGAGGCTCCAGGGGACACATCTGGGATTCCTGAGCTTCGTTCCAGTCCATCCACAGCCGAGCTGCCTCCAGCTGGCACCTCCCGCCACTCGGGGCCGGTCCATGAAAGCCTCTCCCTTCCAACCCAAACCGTTCCTGGATTCCGAGATTGGAATTTCATCCCCAGGCAGCCGAGGAAGGTGAGGGATCAGGGGAAGGGGAGTGAGGTAGAGCAGGGAAAGTAAAGGAAAGGAAATAAAGCCATGTTTTCTACATGGATAACTCCCCAGCAATCCGCTGGAAGAGGGATTTGGTCCTATCCTGAAACCCCAAACCAGCCTCGTTCGGATTTGCCAAGCACCTGTGAAAGAATGCAGCTGCAAGGCCCTGGGAAAACAATGGGAACTGTGACAGTTTATTAATTTAAGGCAGCCCCGAGATTTATTTGGGAAAGCAGCGATACCACTGGAGGACTCGGTGCCATTCCTGAGCTATGCCCGGGGCTGTGGATGTGTGGAACCCCAGTTTGGGAACTGGGACACCTTCCTGGCTCTGGCAACAAAACAAATTATTTTTCATCCCGTATTCATTTGATAGGTTGGGATTTTTCCTTGTTTTCTGATTTTGTTTTTTTTCAATATAGTTTGCTCTGGCTATTTTTTTCTGGTGAAGCAAGGGTTTGGAAAGTGCAGGCAGCATTTCAAACTGTGATCTGCACAGATGGGAATGAAGGAACATTCTCCAGGCAAAAATTGTTCTCAGAGACATTTGGATTGAGCAGGATTTGTCTGTGTGCGGGGTGGAACATCCTGATTTCCAGCAGGAGGGTGCTGGGGCAGCGCAGGGCCCGGCCCAGCGGATCCAAGCCCTTCTCCCACGGCAGAGGGCCAGGAACCCACGGGAAGGGCTGTCCCAGGGAAAAGCCCTCAGGATCGGGCACCGAGGTGCTGTGTCCTCCCAAACCTGGCCGCTTTTAATGAGTTTGAGGTGCGCGCGTGTAGCCCCGCGCTTGATGAAGAGTTTCTGTCACCGCAGGCAGCAGTTACAAATGACAGGGTGGGCAGGGATGGGCCCGGCAAATCCAAAACAATTTGCTTTGCATAGATTAGCAGCTCCTCGAGAGATCCCACATTCATCTGGGAGAGGTTTGCAGGGTGCAGTGTCACAGAGAGGCTTTGCTGCCCACGTCTTGTGTTTTTCCCCACTTCCCTCCTCGCTTCCCTCCTCCCCCTTTTGGTTTCCAAACTGAATTTCCCGATTTCCAGATGCAACTGCAATATAACGTGGAAATAAAAGCAGGCAGTTAAATTATCAGAGCACATAATCTCTCCCAAAGAAAAAAGGGGGGATCATCCAACTCCATTTTCCTGCTTATGGGTCCCTGTTGCTGTACTGGTGCTAAATACACCAGGAGCTCGGCTCATCAAATTTTTAAGCACAGGATGCACAAAGGAAGCTCCAGAGTGTCTGGAAAAGCTCGTGGCATCGGTCAAAGGCAGCTCTTGGGGCTGAGGCGCTGCCAGCTCCCCATTCATCATCACTT